CTCCTAATTTCTTGATGAACAGTGTAATGTTGGTGACCTTTTGTTGCTAAACAACCAATTTTTTTTGTAGACTGGTCCTCCCTAATTAGTTTTAACAGCATCCAGCCGTCCTGATCCTAATTTCCTGGCTCCGCCACTGCCTCTCAATGAGCTGATTTGTATACGACTATGTTGGTTTCATTCTGGTAATGGAGCCGGGGAGAAGCCTCCCTGTTCATCTAAAAAAATTACCATGGCAAGGCAATAGTTCATGTTCATCTAAAAAAATTACCATGGCAAGGCAATAGTTCACAACTTAATGATAAATAAAGCTTAGTACGTAATTAAACATGATCCTAGTTAACCAACCTTGATCCGAGGGCTTACCGGCTTAGTCACCTTGTTGTGTACCAACCAAAGAACGAGGCCACGGCATGATGTAGGGATAGGAACCACCACTAGGGATGCGACCAAGCTTGTTTAGCACCGCTGTTTCCACGCAGAAGGATAGGAGCCAGAGAGTCGAATGATGATGCCGAAACACCCCACAATAAGCAGAGAAGTACACAAAGCCATCAATAATCGCCCTAACAGTCACTTGAAATTTAACATTATCCTCCTTGTATCCACACCGAACGATTCCAGCTATCTCCTGCAATGGGAGTGACCTGTCCAACATCCACCTCTCTGCGCCGTCGTCATCGGCTCTCCGGATCCAAACAGCAAGCACTGATTCGAATGTCAGTGGCCCCAAAGGTGCGCAGACCACACAGAGTCTTCCATCCTTGGTCTCACCAGCCGTCACTTTGTCATTCCCTCTAATGTGCGGCGGATTATCCATCAGAGAGAATTGCATTGTAGCAGTGTTAAACACGGGGGCATCAGTCATCCCAATATTCCAATAGATACAGCCATTCACCAGCTTACCATTGTGAGGCCAGAGCCCGTCTATGTCTGCCCATGGGAAAATCTGCGACTTACTGGTGTCCGATGATAAGACCATGGCGCGCGCCCCATATTCACCGTGCCAGACGCTCACGACGCGGCACGGCAAGTTGTCTTCTTCTTTTTCGGTGAGGATGTAGAATTCAGAATAGTCGCCCTCGCAGTCCTCCCGGCCAGGCGGCTGGGGGAAGAGATCCAGGGTCCGCGCGAGCGGGTTGTAGACGGCGATCTGCTGAGTGCTCCAGCTGTAGAGAACAACGAATCCGTCGCGGCAGTCATGGACTGACCACTCAGGGACGGGATCCTCGTCTTCGTCTCGAGAGCCAGAGACGGCATCCTCGTCGTCGTCTTCTGGTGGGGGCACAGGAACGGACACGGCGCGGTCGTCTTTGAGGACTGGGAGGCGGGTGAGGAAGAAATCAGCGCCGCGGACGGCCGCCGCGATGTCCGGGTCTGAGCGGCTGCGGAGAGGCACGAAAGTAGGGATGGTGGTGTCTTGGGTGGTGAGGAAGTGGCCTAGGAGCGGGGGTGGGTGGAGCGCACGGAACCGGCGGCGGAAAGCGGGCGACGAACGGACTGCGTCCAGGAAGGTGCGGCAGCTGAGGGCGGCGCGGACGAGGCTCGGGAGAGAGGGGAGGCAGAGGAAGATCTCGCGCAGGGTGTCTTGGTCGAGGGCGCTTATGGTCGTCGGGGGGAGTGGTGAGGGGTTCTTCGCCGGCGGCGGCTGCGGCGGCGAGGTCATGGCGCACCCGCACACAGGTTGCACTTGGGGTTTCATTTCAGCGACAGGGACCATTGTATGGGCTCTAACGACCCAACATGGCCTAGAAAAAATCGGGCACCAGACCGACTTGCAAAAAAACGTGCCACTATCACTAAGAAAACGTGACATTACCGACTGAACCCAGTTACTCAAAAAAATCTGACCGAAACCAACCCCTCAATAAAAATCTGACTGGAACAAATGTTTTTTCTTTTCTTTTGCGGGTAGACTGAAACCTTTTTTTTTTAAGAAAATACCATCATGGCTAGCTTTATTAATAAGAAACAAGGAGTACATCGTTCACAAACTCAAACTTGACCTTCCCAATCATTGAAGAAACATCCACGCATTCTGCGAAAATCGCCGAAGCCGCATCCCACCATCTTGATTGCCCGGAGGAAAATTCAACAACAATTTGAGAATCAGATTACGCTTCTACCCGTTTGAATGCCACAGAATTTGCCATTATAAATCCGTCGCAACTTGCCATTGCCTTTGTTGTGATCACATCAGCTGCATTATTAAGGGACGAGAAGGGAGTTTTTATTGAGACTGAAACTAATGTTGTTTAAACTATCGCGTCGGATGCTGTGGAGGTGAATTACGAACATGAGTCGCACTCACTACCGTATAACAGGAATTGAGCTAAAAAATTTGTTCCAACAAGTCATGTAGAAAAAAAATGGGACTCCCAATCTCGAGTGTGGTGATTCGTGTCATGAACGGTAGAATTAAATATAATTGAAAATTAATTTAAAATTATATTATTTTGCCATCTAAGATGCTCGAATGTGTGATGTGCCTGCAAATTTTTTGTGGTGTTTGTCATTCGAGGAGCCCATGACAAAAAAAATTGGTTGTGGAACTAACTTCGAAAAAGAGCACTATTTGAACCAATTTTTTTCAAAGAGCTCGCCCCGACCCGGCCGTCTCTCCCAGCCACGCTTCCCAAGCTCATCGGACCTCCCCGACTTGCCACCGCTTTCACTTGTCTGCATCGCCTTCGGACGTCCATAAGGTGTTCGAGAAATTTCCTCACCAATTTTTGTGATGTCTGGAGAATTGCCGATGAAATTGTATGTGCATATTTTCCAGGATGAACTCTCTTGTTGAGTTATTTTTGGACGAATCATCATCAATGAGGATGCAAACTTGATATGGCGGGGTCATTTGTTATGTTCAAGTTAGATTTGGATTTCAAACCAAATTTCATAAATTGTGGTTTTTCAAACGATGTTCAATTATGTGTCTATCCATGAGTGGCGGAGGGCAACTCGGAGCGCGAGCTCCTCGTCGTCCGGCATGGACGAGTTGGAGTCCTCCTTGACGAGCTCTGCCCAGTCGATGGAGTCGAATTCACTACCGGATTCGTCGTTGACCATGGTGGAGAGGAGGGGAGGAGTCGGGGCAGTGGAGCGGTGCGATCAAGAGGAGTCTAGGTGGGGCATTTGTGGACACAAGGTGAGGATAGCGTGGGCCAACTTGATCCAATCTGGCGCGGCAGCGGCGGCGGCCGGGCGCGTCCGATCTGCCCCATATCCGCCCCATTAGGGGGGGTGCCAGTAAGCGCACACATTAGGTTGGCTATGCACGGTTCACTTGGGGGGCAATTTGTTGTCCAGGCAATGATTGTCCATGCCGCCCAAACATTTAGGGAGGATATGGGGCTCCTGTTGTACATGCTCTGAGCGCATGTCCAATGCCATCCTCAAATGAGAGTCGTCATTGGTCCGTGGAGGTGTCTGGACGTGTCGGCGGATACGGACACAAGAGTCGGCCATCCAGCGCAGTGTTGTAAACAACCGAGCCACATTTCAAACGTGGCTTGAATAAACATGAAAATTTTGATGCACTGAACGACTTTCATTTAAGCCGGACCAAAATGAGAAAACGTTCGATGTATATCATTAAACAAAGTGGACATGATTTTTTCTTGAATAGCTAAAGTCATTAGTCCAAATCTTCACCTATATGGAGACGTCGATATTCCACGTGCCCACGTCCATCTCCCACATCATGCTCATTCTTGTGAGAGTCCACCACTTGGCCATGGATGTCGCATGTCTGAGGTAAGGTCCATGATGGACGCGGACGGGCCAGCCTCATGGTCATTGCGGCCCTGCACGAATGGGGTGGGTAACACAACTGACACGGACTTGCTGGCGTTGGTAGTAAAGTCCTCGTTCGTGATAGCCTGTGTCGCCTCAGCGTCCGCCTCTACCTCGATCTCCGTGAACAGGGTGTCATTGCGCAGCCTCCATTGCTCACGGCGGATGACGCGGGCACTGCCATGGATTGTTACAGTCCCCGTCGCTCACCCAAGAAGGTCAGATACTCCGTGATGACGTCATCATTCTCCTGCTCACGGATGATTTGCCCGTCCGTGAACTAGTGTTAGTCGAGGAGCCGCACGTTGTGCCCATGCTGCACCATCTCCAATGTGGCGCCTCTTTCCAAAAGGCCGACCAGAGCAACGCGCGTGAGAGAGAGAAACATGTGCGGGAGTGGTTTTGAGTGGGACCACTTGTCGGACGCGTATATGGAAGAGATCCGAACTCCCGCAGAGTGCCCCTAATTTGCGTCTGATTTACGGGGAAACAAACGCATGAACGCGTTCGTGGACAAATATGGATCCGCGTCAAATGATAAAGTGCATCCGGACAGCTCGTTTGGAGTTTGCGGGCTATTTGAAGTTCCGTGTTGGTAGTGACTTTATATTTTTTTTAGAAGAAGAGGGCGGCGCTGATACGTCTCCAACGTATCTACTTTTCCAAACACTTTTGCCCTTGTTTTAGACTCTAACTTGCATGATTTGAATGAAACTAACCCGGACTGACGCTGTTTTCAGCAGAACTGCCATGATGTTGTTTTATGTGTAGAAAAGAAAAGTTCTTGGAATGTCCTGGAAATCCACAGAGGCACTTTTTTGGAATTAATAAGAATTTTTGGCGAAAGAATTAATGGCAGGGGGCCCACAGCCTGTCCACGAGACAGGGGGGCGCCCCCCCTAGGGCGCGACCTCCTATCGCGTGGGCCCCCTGGACCTCCACCGATGTCAACTCCAACTCCATATATTCACATTCGGGGAGAAAAAAATCAGAGAGAAAGTTTCATCGCGTTTTACGACACGGGGCCACCGCCAAGCCCTAATCTCTCTCGGGATGGCTGATCTGGAGTCCGTTCGAGGCTCCGGAGAGGGGGATTCGTCGCCATCGTCATCATCAACCATCCTCCATCACCAATTTCATGATGCTCACCGCCGTGCGTGAGTAATTCCATCGTAGGCTTGCTGGACGGTGATGGGTTGGATGAGATTTACCATGTAATCAAGTTAGTTTTGTTAGGGTTTGATCCCTAGTATCCACTATGTTCTGAGACTGCAGTTGCTATGACTTCGCTATGCTTAATGCTTGTCACTAGGGCCCGAGTGTCATGATTTCAGATCTAAACCTATTATGTTTTCATGAATATATGTGTGTTCTTGATCCTATCTTGCAAGTCTATAGTCACATATTATGTGTTATGATCCGACAACCCTGAAGTGAGAATAATCGGGATACTTCTTGATGATGACCGTAGTTTGAGGAGTTCATGTATTCACTATGTGCTAATGCTTTATTCCGGTTCTCTATTAAAAGGAGGCCTTAATATCCCTTAGTTTCCGTAAGGACCCCGCTGCAACGGGAGGGTAGGACAAAAGATGTCATGCAAGTTCTTTTCCATAAGCACGTATGACTATTTACGGAATACATGCCTACATTACATTGATGAATTGGAGCTAGTTCTGTGTCACCCTATGTTATAGCTATTACATGAGGAATTGCATCCAACATAATTACCCATCACTGATCCATTGCCTACAAGCTTTTCATATATTGTTCTTCGCTTAATTACTTTTCCGTTGCTACTGTTACAACTACTACAAAAACCCAAAAACATTTGTCTTTACTTTTGCTACCGTTACCTTTATTATCATACCACTTTTGCTACTAAACACTTTGCTGCAGATACTAAGTTATCCAAGTGAACTCAACTGCTAATACTCAAGAATATTCTTTGGCTCCCCTTGTGTCGAATCAATAAATTTGGGTTGAATACTCTACCCTCGAAAGCTGTTGCGATCCCCTATACTAATGGGTTATCAAGACTAATTTCTGGCGCCGTTGCCGAGGAGCATAGCTCTTTTCTCTGAGTCACTTGGGATTTATATTTGCTGATCACTATGAAGAACTTGAAAGACGCTAAGACCAAGATTTTGCCCTCAACTACGAGGGGAGGTAAGGAACTGCCATCTAGCTCTGCACTAGATTCTCCTTCCGTTATTAGTAGGCTTGCGACACCTAAACCTGCTACTGCTATGAATTCTGATATGTCGCATGTTATTGATGATGCCACTTCTGCTATGCATCATGAAACTACTTCTGTGTGTGATACTACTTTTCCATTAGGTGAATTTCTAGATGAACAACTTGCTAGAGTTAGGGGGAATGAAAATATTGAAGAACCTATTATTGATGATAGTGATGATGAAGGTTCCCCCAATGATTATGTATTACCTGTTGTTCCTAAGGGTTATGTTATGAATGAAGCAGCTGCTATGGAAATTCTTGCTTGCAATGATAGAAATGATCTTAAGAAATTATTAGCTAAATGGAAGCAGCAGTCTCTTAATGCTAGAATGAAACCCGATCCTGCTTTTGCTACTTCACCTATCTGTGTTACTGATAAGGATTATGAATTCTCTGTTGATCCTGAGATTATTACTTTAGTTGAATCTGATCCTTTTTATGGCCTTAAATCTGAAACTGGTGTGGCACATCTTACCAAGTTGAATGATATAGCCACCTTGTTCACTCATGATGAGAAGTCTCGCTATTTATACATCCTTAAGATATTTCCGTTCTCATTAAAGGGTGATGCTAAGACTTGGTATAATTCTCTTGCTCCTGGTTGTGTGCGTAGTCCCCAGGATATGATTTATTACTTCTCTGCTAAATATTTCCCTGCTCATAAGA